ACACACACACACACACACACACACACACACACACATATATATACACACACGCGCGCGCGCGTGCGCACACATATGTACACACACATTATTACTCTGCTGTCATCATGAGAAGACCCATGGTCAACTAGCAGGAGATATGACACGGCGCCTCTAATAGTTCATTTGTAGTCATAAATGTCTCTGTGCTCAGATACCTTTTGTGTGGTACAAAGAGATGTCATCTCCACGTGGTTGGTTTCTATTCAATTTGGGTTCTTTGCTCGTACCACTCTCCCAACATATCCACCTTTGAAGTAAACTATAAGTGTGTTGAGCACTACTGAATCGTTGAACGCATTCAAAACAAACGTAAGCTGTGGATTTGTATGTGCACACTAATGCGTATAGATTAAAAGAAAAGATGCTGTGTAAAAGGCACAGTCTGGCTGCCTGAAAGAGAGAGAGAGGTCCTCTTTGTCTGAAGAAAAAGAAAAAGAAGAAGAAGAAGTAGATCATGTTCACTTGCTATTGCTCTGCGGTCGCTCCAGTTTTCAGCGTATCCACAGTTGTAGGGACATTGGGCTCCTGCTCACGAGACCGTGAGATCGACAATTCCGTGCGGAACTTAATATCATTATCGTGGCTCGTTGGTGGCAGCTCCCAGCTATAACTACCGGACATCGTTAAAGCACTGCCTGCGATATGGAGATGAGGGGAGTTGGTAGTTGCTTTTTTTTTGGTTGCTTTTTCCTGCCCCGGAAGAATCGATTTTCTTCCTCCCTCCGTGCTGGCCTCTGGGCCTTTGTGGCGAGTCATGGGCAGAAAGAAGAGTTGTGAGGCCTGGTGAAACATGGGTGCACGCGACATTAAACTCAGAGGACTTGTTGATGAGCTCAGGGAGTCACGACCCCCCCCCCCCTCCTCCATTTTCTCCCCTTCCCACGCCCACGCACCGTCTTTGTGTTGGAAGACAAGACTTCTCAACAGTGTCCATTTTCATAAGATACCCCCCCCCTCCCCCAACAACGTCTTTACAAGTGGATATCATTTGAGTAATGTAACAAGTATTTTATTTGTACATGTGTGCACTCCTATTTTGCTAACATTTATTTTGTCTTTACTGCATTTATTACTTTGGGAAAGATTGAAGCAATAGAATATTTATTCGTCTTATTTGAATAGAAAGTTTGATTGAAATGACGTCAACAGTGTACTTTAGTTCAAACTAGAAACTTTGTAAGGATGGGGAATATTTTCCCACTCTTGTTATGGATAAATCTAGTTTTAAGCTTAAGCTTGGCGTTGGTAGTACCACCCGGCTTCTCAGAATATTATTGCTTTCTTACGTCGCTGCCTGGTCGTGTTTGTTGTGAGCGATGAGGTTGATCTTCTTTTGTGTCATTTCTTGTCGAGTAATGTGGGTTTTTGTTCATTTGTTTCAGGTTTGAGCCGGCTACAACGTCAGTGAGAATACTGCCCGACATTTTTCAGAAGGTAAGATTGATCGCCTGGTTGGATCGTAAATCCACCTATATTCAATAAACAATGGGATAGTTTGTCGTTAATGATTCCCACTTCTTTGCTCCTACGGGAATGAGACTGTCTTGTACTCTCTATAATTTTAAATGCTTTCGGCTTTTTTCATCTCATGTCGATTCCTCTCATTGTGGCCCCCACAGGTGGGTGGTTGGCATGTGCTCTGGTGTAGTTTTCTCCTTCTTTGCTTTTATCAAACATCTGTCTTCTGCGTCTCTTATTTGTTACTCCCCTTTGCCCCTCCTCTGGGCTCCTGACTCTTTCTGCAGCCTTTCTACTGCTACTCCTTAGCTCCTTACTGCTGTCTTTCAACTACACCCCTGATATTATGGATAGTAAGATCTAACACCTCGCCTTCTCGGACACGGGCAAAAAATCTCAGAGGTCCCAAGTGCAAGTTGCGCATATTAAAGATCCTTTGGTTGTCCTAAAATCGATAAGAGTAGGCTTTGGCCGCCACCCCTGCGAAATTCCTACTAAACTGAAATTGTTTAATGTGTCCGGCGGGCAATATGACCTTACGAAATTTGCGAGCGCCTTAAAACATTAACCAAAAAAAAATAAAAAATTGTTACTCCCTTGTAACACCTCTAATCTTCGGTCTAATCTTCGGCAATTATTTGACCTAGTTTCGTTGCCAGTGCCGTAAACCGCTTACTAAAAGGATAAAACATAGAGGCCCTACATTTAGCATTCATTGTTTGGTGGAACTGAACGGTAGTTGTGAATGCAATCGACTTATGTGTTTCGTGCGCTCATATTGTGATTCTATATATGCAAGCCCTAACACGCGCCTTAAAACTTACTAAACTAAATTGAGCCGGTACCTCCACGACTCGGATGGCTTGCTTGAAAACAATCCGGATGTCGTGTTTATGAGCATGGGGCAAGTGCCTTGACTTTTGCACCGCTGAGTCCGCCTCAAACATATGCATGTTAAATCTTCCATGAATGTGCGTCTAAGTGACTTCTTGGGTCCTTTTTTTCTTTGTTTCTTTTCATAAAATTTCACACAGTACGAGGCACAATAGGTTTGTCGACACAGAGGTTTGATTGACAATTTGATCTTTAAAAAAAAAAGGGGGGGGGGGGGGGGGAGTGTTGATATGGAGAAAGTAATTGATGAAGAAGAATGCTTCATTTATCAACCCGTAAGGGAATGAATACATATCTGTGTGACAAACATTCTTAAAAATAAACTCAAAACGTGTCCCACACCCAAAACAAAGATTTTCCAGTCGCTTATCTGTGGGCTATACTACAATGACTCACTGACGCCTGGCTTCAGTCACTCACTCAGTTGTATTCGCATCGTTATCGTCACTATGACTCTTTGCGTCTTATGCATATTTATGAGGGCCCTCGGTTAGTATTGGTCGTTTACCACAGGCCAGTACCGTGGTGTATTGCGCCACTGAGCGGAAACGGTCGTGCGGAGTCACAGGGTCATGTCCGGTGAACCTTAGGGTTACTGTCCTTATATCTGGATCTCTGTTGTTTCTTTGTTTCTCTCTCTCTCTCTCTCTCTCTCTCTCTCTCTCTCTCTCTCTCTCTCTTATCTCTCTCTCTCTCTCTATCACACAC